ATTAATATTATTATTAATATTATATTGAATTATCGCCACAGTAAAATACAAGGATGTTGGTTGTTTCAAAGACAACGCAAATGATAGAGCACTTTCAAAACTTATCAAAAACTTAAGAGGAGATATCAACTGGCATGATTTGAAGTCTTCTGTGATTGACAAGTGTGCTAAGGTGGCCAAGGAAGAAGGGTAAGTTACATTCATACATTTATTATAGGAATTGTTAACAATATGTAATGACAAGTGTTCTCTTTAACGGGTCCTTGATAAAGGCATTTATCATAGACAATTATCTAGTTCTCTTTTTTGAAAAGTTGTTATTTTCATTAGTGAAAATAATACATTCGATATTTCTCTATATATTGAAAGTAAAAAAAAAATGAATTTTACGAACTTTACGACTTGCTTACATATATAATCATATGATAAACAGAATATTACATTAAGYTCACTCGTGAGAGAACTTTTTCAGGATTCATTTTTGTTTTTTTTTGTTTAAATGTCATTTTCGGCTCTATTCTTTTTTCAATCGTTTTCTGTTTTTGTTCTTTTCTTCTCTTTGCCATTTGTCTTTGTTTGGTTTCTGTCAAGTGTTGCCKTCTCCTTCCTTCTTTTATTTATTTTCTTTGTATTTTCCTCTTTTTTCTTTTGCATAGAGAATAACGAATTACATTTTTGAATAAGTTTTTCCTTTGCAACTATAGATATACCTATTTTGGAATTCAATTCTACGGTGAATGCTGGAGTGGTCCTAACGCTGAAGATAATTTCGACAAACATGGTTCTTCGCCGAATTGCTGGAGTGGCGTTGGAGGTCCGGGAGTTAACATGGTTCATCGTATTGTCAATGAATAAATGATCATGATGTATCTTTCAGGCTGAATAAAGTGAATATAACAATAAAAGGCACAATAGAAAACATGGAAGACTGAAAAATTACTAAATGAAAAATTTATTATAAAATTGCGGGATTATCAAGTAAGCACAAAGAAGGAACTCACAAAAATAATTTGAATGTGTACACCAAAGGCATCTAGTCGGGGGAGGGGGGCTATAAATATTTCAACAATATAACGAATAAGACTCATTATAGTAATTATTCAATATTCAATATGGAAAGAAATCTTCAAATGCATAATATACGGTTCCAGCTGGTTATATGACATAGCTTTTTGAAAATTGGGATTGCTTTTCATTAAGTCAAGTCAAATATTATACGATGTTGATTAACGTGATATCAAACGTTAGGTTGTCCTTTTTTGGTTTAATTTGGTGCACACCAGTGTTTATGTTCTCACTGCATTCCTGCCTATCCTTGAATAATTTTAGACACATAGATTGGAACTAGGCATTCAAAGTACTTGAAAAGCAAGAGAATCGAAAGAGAATACAACAAACGATTGGAGTTTAGAGGCAAACCTTACAAAATGTTTTGATATTGGTATTATAAGATTCTCACTGCATRATAAATTACTTCAGAGCGGAAAACTGCATTTCCGTAATCTTGTTTTATTCTCATTGTGTATGCCTGCGGGGAAGTGCATAATCCTTTGCGGTATCCCGTATTTAACCGGAAGGCCCTGTAACACTCCGAGGCATTTCGAGAAAATTGCTGGCAGAACGGAMGTTTGTGCGACCCAGCCACCTCCCTGGTGACATGAGAGTTTTAGCATCAAGCTGACGGCAAACGGCTAACGGCAGAGCTGAACCAATGACCKAAGAATTTCGTGCCTGACCTTGTGCTTTTGGTAGTMATTTGAAAGAGYGRCTTTTCACGATTATGTCAACCTCAAACCAACCCGCTCTTGCGTTGAAACTGCAATGTTAAACTCCAAAAAAGTAGATCACGTGAGCTTTTCTGCCGTTTGSCGTTTGCCGTGGACGTCATGCTAAACCTCTCTAGGTGCCTCTAGCCCGCGCGTATACCCGTTGCATGCTCGTCAAATTGTGCACTCGCAGGTATATCCCATAACTCAACTGAAGCAGTAGGTTACGTGAAAATCATGGTTTTTAATTCATTACATTCCAATTTATTACAGCCATGAGTTATCTAATRTCATGAAACATGTCATCATTTTCTTTATTTCATCGTAGTTGATATTCTTCKTGATATTGTTTCTTTTTAATAAGGTAGTTCAACTATTATGAGAAACAAACTTAACATGAGCTTATGATTWTCGCGCGACAAGTGTAAAGAGTGTAAAGAGTATGGAAAACTGGAATAAGGATGTCTATAAATAACTCCCAAAATGATATTTTTCCTCCAGAATCAGAAGAAATTTCTATGCAAATATCCTCACATTCGTTGAAAGACAATCTTGAATCATTTCGTAAAAAGATATCGTATTAGGCGTATAGACCAACCCTACCCGCAGCGCGCACTACAAGAATCATAGAGAAATTTGTAAATCGAAATGTCAATGTTAATTACTTAGTTAGCATTGAACTTGCTTTCAGTTACTGCGCCGGATAACACTAGATAGTGAATTTAACATAGTATGCCGGATGAAAGTTCGTTCCTCGTTCGTTCGTTGTATGATGCAAAACAACTCGTGAATAAAATCCCGTACGTCGCATTTTCCATGAAATAAATTATGCGTGACTTGGAGTTCACCACTAACTTTTCTGCTCTTTTCAATCATTTCTCAAGCTCTCCTCCTCTTCTGATAATTATTGCGCAGTCACCTACAATGAACATGATGGTTTGCAATTTTTATGCTTGCTTTATGTAATGTATACATATTTTCCTATTGTTTTAACTCAATGTGCTGCCAAACTATGGAAAATTAGAATTGTCAAAGGAATAAGATATTAGGCATTCATAATTAGCAAAAATTAAATCATTTCTCCCTCGAATGATGTCGAGTCGATTTCGGAGACCTAAAACTCAACAAAGAGGAAAGCTATATTGTTTAGGCGAGTGTTCCACAAATATTCTACAATGGGCCGCATCCATATTTTGCGACTAGCAAAAAGACTGTGCGAAGAAAGCATCAGATTCAGTTTCAAAAACAGCGAGTCATTCCAAGATGCTGACACTAATCTTGAAGACATGAACTTCGAGTCGTTGATTTTTGGATGGTCAAATTCATACAAGACGGGGCCCGAAGAAAACGGCGAAGCTTACCCGACGAACGAGTAAATTGCGAGGAAGCGAAACATTGCTTCAACATTGATTTTTTGTGTTTTATTGTGTTCGATTGCACGCGAGTTTAGACATTTTGAATATTTTCAGGGGAGTGTGGGCCTGATTATTATTCAACGTTTTCCTGATACAGACCTAATTGATAAGACATTAGTTCTATATCATTGATACAGAACTAATGTTATATTAATTAGGTTTGTAACAGGAAAACGTTGAATAATAATCAGCCGGCCGCACTCCCCTTAAAATATTCAAAGCCGCCCCCAACTTTGAGGTTGCTGCACCTTTTATCCAATATAAAGGTATCTAGATAATAACGTGATTAGATTCTCAGTATATCATTGGCTAATGACATTATGAATTATTAATGAGTTTGATAACTAAGATTATTTGTAGCAAAGCCTTAAAATGACTATTTTTCTATAATCCGGTATCTTCGCAGCTGTATAAATAGAATAGAATTGGTTTTATTAATCATAGAAACTATTTGTTGTAAATATGAATCAAGTGGGCTAAGTGCATAACGACTAATATAATCATATCATCTATCGCCAAACATTGCTAAGTAATTTACACTATATCATTATTAAAAGTTTTAATTTCTTTTAGTTTATTGTGGGCGCTGCATCAAATCTGGAAAACATTGTCAAGACATGCTCGTAAATCGTTCATTCTATGCACTTAACTCCAACGATCAGAATGGCCTTGGATATCCACGCGCGATAATGATTTTGTATCATAAGGGTGCATCCCACATCGGGCTTTGCATATACTGTATAGGCTACATTTCAAAGCCCCATAAGGCTCACCATAGTTAGTCGATCCACGACTATGAAAATATCTACCCCTTCATTAAAAAATGTCCATTCTTACTTATTCGCGGCTTTATCTAGCTTTTATCTAATTAGGTTTCT